AAATTCGCTAATTCTCAAACGAAGTTATGGTAGGCTACACTCAACTGAATTAGCAATGTCACGTCCCTCGAAATGTCAGCTTGATTTATGTCATCTGTTTCAAGATCTGCGCAGGTGTATTGACATGTGGCTGAAGTTGTGCCCTTTTGAGACTATATAATGGCTTCAATTAAAATTTCGTAATCCCGTCTACATTCGCCCAAACTGTCTAGTCGCTCCGAATGCTCATTTACAGCAAGCAGCATGGAAGTAGAAGTAAACATTCCCTTTATCTCACCATCGCGTTCAGTAACGTGTCTGGCCGTGTTCTCCATCCTGTTTGTTAGTATCCTCTCGTTCGCATATACGTCATGTAATGTCGTGTTCATAATCTTAACGTCAATTTTATCACTGCTATTTGTTCTTCGGAACGTTTAAAAAAATTAGCCTGTTCCCTCTCTAAGTTCGAAATTTTGTGTGTGTAATATGATGCATCCTCACTGTCCATAGTAAGAAACAAGATTTTGCTAATTCCACGAATAGAGTTAAAACGCAAATGAATCGCTTCTTCGTCAATTCTGGTTAATTATTTTACAAGTAGTTTCAAGCTTTCTACTTCCTCAACCTGTCTAGCCAAATACCTCATGCTTTTCATAGACAGAGAAATTGATCCTGAACACGTGGTCGTGGGCCTTGCAAAAATGTATCTATAAACTAGCATACTTCTTTACGATTTCCAAATTTTGATTACCCTCTTCCAGATTTACAAACGTGAACTCTTCCATTCCGTATTGTACAGCTGTGCGGTACCTGCGTCGTAATATAGGCCTAGAGATTCAGTGTACTTTTTATATGGTGACGTCGAGAGAAGCTGTCTGTTTAAAAACAGTGTGCTGCAGAGGGTCCACAGTCTGGCAGGCATGGCCCTGCAATCAGCCAAAGAACAGTGTCAGTCTGTTGCCATTTACCTTGATAGTATTGTTATTGTTCCTTGGAAATTTTGATGTAATATTTACATCTTAGACGTCTACTACTTCGTAAGGTCCTATCCAAGGTGGTGAGAGTTTCAGTGACCTCTCCTAACCCTTTCCTCTTGAAGTAAGACTTTATTTATCCAAAACTTAAAACAAAGGAATGTTTACAGTTTTGTCTTGCTGTTCCTTAGTTCGTTCCATCTTAGCTATCAGATTGCACTTAGCTAATTCATAACTGGACTGAGCCTAGACTTCAATTCCCTTATGTACTTATCATACGTATAAGGCATGTCTGGGGCTCCCTTCTATAATGCGCCAGGTATATTCGGCTTCCTGCCGAACATCAGCTCATGCAGCGTGAAGCCTCTGGAGGTGGGTCGTGTGATGGGTGACTTCACTGTGGGAAAAATATATTTGTTAGGCAGCCGTGATAGTAGGCCCTCCCCCCCCCCACCTTCCCGTATGATTCCATTCTGCTCTTTCGAGATCGCCTCGCGTCGGGAATCATTGTAATTACCGTACTAACCATATCAGCTTAGTGAATTGTTTTCACAGAAATTCGTGTTCAGGGCTGTGCGTTGGAGTTGGGAGAGCGTTAGCCTACCGTTACTTAACAATGGGTGACTCCTCTGTGGGAACGATATTTACCCAGCCGTAATGGTAATGGACGTTTACGTCGGCTTTGCTATTTCGGTTTCTCTGGACGAAATGTGGACAATTGTTCCTGCACGAACTACGTTTCCTACTTTAGCTATTATAGACCTACCTGGAACACAACCAATCAGCAAGCTCCTCAACTCACTCGCCCACGTAACTACAAACTGAACGTTTTGGGTAATTTCAATAAATGATTTTTCAATATAATGTTTCAATAAATTTTCATATTTAATGTACAAAGAACATTTATTCAAATAAAAATCCTAATTTAAATCTGTTTAACCACGTTAATCCAGGGAACCAAGTTTCCCCAATCGTTTTTTCTGACAAATTTCACAACATTTAACGTAATCCTCGATTTCTCGTTTCATACCTGGCTAAGATACAAACAGCTCTATTCTCTCATATATCCTGTTCATTCCTAAATGACCGCTTCTCGGGTTTTCATGCATTTCTCTGAGAATCCTCGCCTTATCTTCCTGACTGGCTCTTGCTTTGTTACCTTAGTTTTCCGAAACTGGTGTAGTAACATGGATTCCGCTGAGTGAGTCTGCATTTTTGTTTTCTCAACTTTTCCATTAAATCACTTCATATTAGCATTCTTCGAGCTTTAAGCTCTATCTTAAGAGTCTCGAACTCGAGTCCTTCAAACTGAATATTCATGTCACGGAACAGTGATCTATGACTATGATAAAATTCCTACAGTACGGATTTTGTCGAAAGTGTTTGCATCCCCAAACAATAGCCAACAATTCCTTTTCTACTGCTGGGTAATTCCGTTATGCACTCTTGCGTTAGCATAGTTGGTTGAGGGGCTATGCTACAAGCTGGAAGGTTGCGGGTTCAAGTTCGATGAGGCCACTGGATTTTTCAATTGACCTAATCCTTTCAGCCGCACTATGGCCCTGGGGTTGACAGTCTCTAACAGAAATGAGTATCAGGAATTAAATAATTTTCCTGGGGAGTAAAGCGCAGCAGGCGCGTAAGGCTGACAGCCTTACCGTCATCTTTGAGCCCATTTTCTAGATAATGCGGGACCCTCAACGTGTCAACCCTATGGGCCTTCACGGCCTGTTACAGGGATAGCTTTACTTTTTTACTTTACTATTTAAAGTTCTACTCGCATAAGCTGTGGAACGGCCTATCTGTGGATCCTAGACTTAATACTGTTCCAATGTCTTCATTATTCGCATCTGTAGTTAGCAAGAAAGGTCGCGTGAAATCATAGTACTGAAGCAAAGGTTCAGTTATTAGGTACTGTTTAAGGTATTGAAAGCCTTATCCGTTTCATCATCCCACACATAAGGCGTGTTATTTTTCAACAATTGTGCCAACGGTTCAGCTATTTGCAAAAATTGCGCAAAAACCGTCAGCAGTAGCCTGCCAAACCTAAGAAGCTTTTTAGCGTCCATGTGGATGTGGGAACTGGGAAATTCCTGACAGCCCCTACCTTTTTCTCATCAGGTTTTACACTGTCTTTAGTTACATGTTATAAAAATGCTGCTTCACATTTATCAGGTTGCAGTTCTAGGTCGTATTTTCTCAACCTACGCAAAACTTCCCTTAATTCATGGTCCGTAAAGAAGAGTATGAGCTTTCAGCAGTAAGGAGCATGTAAGGGGTGGGCCATAAAAACCGGTCCCCGCACATCGACCTTGAATGATTATTGTGCTCAGCCGTAAGGAGTACTGGTTGGTCATAGGAATTCTAAGTAAGATTTCCAATTAAGAGGATTTTTAACCTCGGTGGAGAACACCTGAAGGGAAGTGCCCATACGCATGTTTCTCCCCGAAAAGGGCGAACCTATTACTTTGTATTCACAAAGAATTACGAAGTGTGGACTACTCAATACTGGAAAAGGCGGACACAGAATAAACAAGTAGGGTCGACCCTGGTGCTTGGCTCACGCTCAAGTCTCGCAAAATTAAGCGGCGCTTGAATATACAGGATGTTTCAAAAAAGCTTTACATTTTTGAAAGCTTATATAAATTTATACAGCGGATATACACAACGTTTTGAACTGTCATAATGTAGCAAAAAACAGAGTTTGACGCACGTGGTACTGTAGTATCTAATACCGCCACCGCGAGCGCTCCCGCAGATAAAATCAAGATGGCTACTTTCACATGTGCAGAGCGTGCTCGTTGTGTTTTTTGATTCGAAGAAACGAAGCCTGCTACACAAGTTCAAAGTATATTTCGCACTCAGCATCGCAAGGAACCTCCCAGTAGGCCTACAATTTACTCCTGACACAAGAATTTTGTTCAGACCGGTTATTCTGTGCGCTATGACAAGCCACCCGGTCGGCCACGTGTTTACTGACGCTACAGTGCAACAGATTAGGGAGAACTTCGAAGTCCACGAAAGTCAACGGGACGTGGGTCTCGGGAAACTGGTATTCCAAATGTTACTGTGTGGCGAGTGTTACCAAAACGTTTACACTTAAAAAGCGTACGCATTATCCATCGTTCAACACTTTACGGATGCAGATAAGGTGGTTCGTAAGGAATTCTGTATGCAGATGTTTCATCGGATACAAGACGATGAGAAGTTTCTGGACTCCGTAATTTCCAGTGATGATTCAAGGATTAAAACAGGGGGATAGTTTGGCACCATCACTATTTAACTTGCTATTGGAATATATAGTGAGGAAATGTAATGTGGACACAAGGAACACAACAGCGTATAAACAAAAGCAAGTGATGGCGTATGCTGGTGATATTATTATAGTATCGAGATCCCTAAGAGCAATGAAGGAGACATATAAAGAAATAAAAACAATAGCAAAAGCAACTGGCTTAGAGGTGAATGTAAATAAAACTAAAATGCTGATACACTCCAGAAGGAATCTAAGGCAAACTGGAGAAATTAACATGGAAAGGGACTCGATAGAAATAGTTGAAGACTTCATATATTTAGGATCGAAACTCCACAAAAATGGAGAGGAAAATCATGAAATAACAAGAAGACTAAGACTAGCAATTAATGCATATTTCTCGTTAATATCAGTTTTTAGATCACGGGATATACACCGAGCGATTAAAACAAAAATATATAAAACAATGATAAGACCTGTGCTTTATTATGGATGTGAGGGTTGGATGCTAAACAAGAAAGAGGAATCAGTCATCAGTTCATTCGAGAGGAAAATCCTAATAAGTATTTATTTACCAATAAAACAGAATGGGATATGGAGAATAAGATATAATAAAGAGTTATACAAATAATATAAGGAACCAGAGATCTCAGTGACGATAAAGCTTAAGAGATTGCAATGGGCTGGGCATGCAGAGAGAATGGATAAGGAGCGTATCCCAAAGAAAATATTATACAGTACAACAGGCGGTAGGAGACGTGCTGGGAAACCAAGAACTAGATGGATTGATGCAATGGAAGAAGATGCGAAGAAGTTAATGGGTGTAAGGAACTGGAAGAGAGCAGTGCAGGATAGAGAGGAATGGAGGGACTTGATATGGGAGGCCAACGCGTGACCTTGGGCTGTTGAATGTTTAGTCTATTGTTAGTGTTATTTGGTTGTTTCAATAAACTGTGATAATATTCATGTCCTCTGTAATTAGCCGGATGTGCACCTCCACAGACTACACATTTTGCAGGGGTGTTTCTAGATTTTTTGCAGCTCTGTGTGCTGTGCGACCGACCACATTTTACACATTCATACGGTTTGTTACAATATGATCTGGTATGACCATGTTGTCGCAGTCGCATGCACTGTGGGATCCCTTTGGCCTTTCTTGGAGTTTCTACTACAATTGTTTCATTTTGTAGTCTTGCTAGTTTGTAGATTTCTTTGTTGTTAGTGTAATAAAAGATAAATCTATTTTTTTCCATACATTGTTTCAGGCTAACATTACTGTGCTCGATGTCTTCTTGCTGATTTTCACTTCAGCCTTGACAGTTGCCTTTATTGTGATAGGTAAGTAACATATTGTCACGTGTTAGTGACTAGACACTGGTTTTGGATTTATTACTTGATTTACTGAACAGTTATGACTCGTAACTACAAATGATTATAATAGTCTCGTTAATTTACACACACTACAAATAAATACGGCACCCTCAAGAACTTCGCAGTTTGTTATACTCTTCATTGTTCGTTGCTAGGTAACATCAAAGTCAAGTCACATCACGTCCGACGATCGGTCAGTCCGTCCGTTTTGGTTTCTGACCCCCTCTGAGGTTCATGACCAAGTCTTAGTTACTTACAGACAGTTCCGGTTTCTTCGATATGGGTCGGCCTCTCTGACGAGATGATAGATCTCACATCTGTCAAAGTCATTGTCCGTCTATTGTCAGTATATTCTGATTGTTTGCAAGATTTACATGTATAGTACATAATATAATAACGTACATATTGTAGCTGTGAAGTGCTATAAATATATATCTTCAGTAAGTACTGGCTCGTGAATGAGTTATGCCTAGTGGCATTTTTGTTTTCAATTAGATATTGTTTGAATGCTTGTATTGGGGTTTTACTCTGGTCTCTCTTGTAGAGTTAGGACGGTGTATCTTTTCAGTTTATGTGCAGTTTCGCTATTGTCTAACATGTTCACTGCTAGTGCATTTGTGTGCTTTTCTAATTTTCTTAAGAATTTGGCATTCCACTTTCTTTACTTCACTGAGCACTGTTTTCATTTGCAGATCTTCATGGATCCTGTGGTTGTTTACGTACAAAGTGCGTTCCGATGGGTTGGAGGGTCTTACATTGAAAGCACTGGAGGATTTCGATGGTTGCGCCGTTTCTTTTCGGTTTTGATGTGCCTTGTCCATCTCAGGCTTCTATCGAGATGGATGCCCAGATCTTTCACTTCTTTCTGGGGTGGTTCAACATGGTGCATTTGCACTGTCGGACAGGTTTCGTTGCATAGGATGAATGTAATTTGCGTAGATTTGCTTCGATTTATTTTAATTCTCCATTTCTTCGCCTAATCAAGTTTATTCACGGTAGCTTGGAGTTTCATTGTGGCTATCGCTGGACCTTCATGTTTAGCTGAGATTGCTGTAACATCCGCGAAGGTAGCAGTTGTTGTGTTGTCTGATGTCAGGAGGTCGCTTGCGTAGATAAGAAATAGGACAGATCCTGAGACACTTCCTTGTGGTAGGTCTGCTTCTGTTTTCTTAAGTTTTTGGTTTCGCCTTTGAATTTTACTTGAGAGGGTCCATCCGTTAAGGGGCCCATACATGTACAAGTCTGGCACGGCAAGCTTGACTCAGATTAATTTCACCATAAGTGCATGAGCTGACTCCTAACTTTGCGACAGACACGCGGACAAGTCTGGATCATTGGAACTCGAGCCGAGTCCGACTCGCGAGCCAGACTCGTACGTGTATGGGTCCCTTTAGATGTGATTTCAATATTCAGTAGTCTGCATAGGGAATGTTTCTCTGATTCTGAACAAGAGGCCTGGGTACCATACTTTATCATACGCTTGTGTGATGTCTGGGAGCACCGCATAGCAGTAGAGTTCCTCTTATTATCTGTGCAATTCGGAGTATACTTGTTCTATGGTAGAGTGTTTCTGTCCGGGAAGAGTCTGGTTTCTTCTGCTACTTGGCATAATCTCTTGAGTACTGCTCTTTTGAAGATTTTGTTCTTTACTGGGAGTAGGCTCGTAGGTCTATATGAGTTGGCTTCCGCCGCAGTCTTCCAGATTCCGGAACCATGTGAACTGCTTGAGTTTCCATGGAACTGGCGAATATCCGGTCCTGATAGTCGAGTTACATTTAATGTGTAACATGTTGCACACCAGTGAGACTATCAGTAGATGAATGCACACTGTTTATACTGTAATTCTAAGCATCAACACAATGGATCCACAGTTGCTAGCATACATAATTTGATATTAAATATCGGTTAGAGTAGAACGTGGCATAGCGCAGGTAGTTAGTAGCTCACCCCATTTCTTCCACCGGGTTCCATCCCAGAAAATGCCTCTTAATATTTGTGACGGACAAAGTGGCACTGGGCAGGGCTTTCGCTGTGTGCTCCAGTTTCTCCTACCCGTTCTCATTCCACCATTTGCCCCACTCCTCTATATTTCAGAGAATTTCCGCTAGCATTTTTGAATTAATATCCGATTTTTCATGTATTCGGGAGCCAGTACGTGTAGTTACTTTTGATCGCACTCATCTAAACAGGCAGTGAAATAACGCTGTGGGTTTTATGGGGTTGCCATGCTGTGAAATTACCTGGGCTTGCCCTGCTCTTTAAAAGAGTAGGAATTGGCATTACTGTAACAATTGAGATATTTGGTGTGTAAATGTGCATCTGTGTAGCATTCTCATGTCGTTTTATTTATTATTTTTTAGGTTGGATAATAAGGCATCAGCACAATGTCAATGGATTATTAAAGGTAAGTTTCAGAAAAGCAATAATGTGTGCATATCCTGTAAATAGTCCCTAAGTAGCTCACTACAAAGCTATAACAATTTTGGCTATATGATGTATCAAATGGTTTCTGAGAGAGAGATTCATTCAAATTTCCTCGACGGGATCTGGAAAATAATCAATTTCCATATATTTAGAAAGGTATCTTTCAGAAACTTAGTCACTTGTTCAGTAGATGAGTGCCTAATAGAATTAATTCTTATATATCTCTTGTACAGGTTTGTGTTCCAGCTGGATTGAGCATTTGTCGTAGCCACAGGCTTCAATTTAGCAGGCTATTATTTTTTCTTCGTGGTAAGTTCTTTGACAACTGATTCTTTACTTATTTAGCATCACTGTCTCTAGGCAATGGGCCAAATTATATACAGGGTGTCCCATGAGGAATGTTCCAGACTTCGGAAGGTGTTCCTTATGTTAAAGTATGCCAATATAACCCAAAACACCTATGTCCAGAATCGAAAGGTTACGTTGATAATTGCCAGAGAATTGTGAAACTTTGATAGGTTTTGCACTCTTGTTGATACATATTAAAACTGGAAGGAATGTGTGGTTTCTGTAATGTTAATAATGTACCTAACAAACTAACTTGTTAGTGACATGAAGCCATAAATTGAACTACAAAAAGGACTTGCAGACCATGTCATAGATGTCATTAGGGTTCCAAGCACTATACATGACACATGAATGGCAAACATGAACGTACCGCGGCTGCCTGCGCATTCAGGTATGCAGCTAGTGTGAGGCGTCACCACACTGAAGGACAAACATCGATAAGACATGTCAGCTGACAGGTACACTGAGTGGACCCGCGAGAAAACCACCCTTATCTCCGTAACCGTTAAAGTTTGGACATAGGTGTTTTGCNTTTCTATGGTTGTTCCTGTCATTATTATCGTCGTTATTTTCAATATAAGCTTACCTTAATGTAGGTGTGGGCTTCAGAATGGTTTAGAAATATTTATTTATGGCCAAGTACAGACCTAAACATCTGTTCACATTAAAACCCGACTGACTTCACATTTCATACGGCTGTGTTTAAAAGCTTAATCGTGTTAGATATTGGCAGTTCTTTATTTTGCACTAATTTATATTAAGTAAAGGAAAATTTAATGTGTAAATAGTTCATACATGAACTCTCAAAGTCAGTACAATTGACAGAAACAAGCACTTTGTGGGATTGATTCTCACGCAAATGACGCTGTATCAATTGCTGTGGATGTGTCTTGTTGATTGAGATGAGAAGGCAATAACAGATTATGAGTAGATAATTAGTTTTAATGTTGCTGTCATGGCCTTGTTGAAAGACAGATTTTAACCAAATAATTATTTTCACGTATAGGGTAGTACGCGTGACGAAAATAACGGGTTCTAGTTGGACTGGATTCCTTGGCAGTTCGGTTACAAGTTGTCTTAATTAAAATTAGTGGAGTGCTTTCGCTGATTTACACTTTATAATTCAATGTTACACACATACAGTAGTCCTCTCCTGGTAATGCAGTAAAACACAGGAACTAGCAATTGCACACTCCAGATATCAGCGTACTATAGTACGCATAAAGTCTTCAACGTCTATTAATATTTCACAGTTGAATCCTCACAAATCATTTCCATAACGGCTTCGTGTCCTTGACTCGGTCTCTCAGCTACGACTAACTTCAAACGAGCTTCACTCTCCCATATAAAACTTCGTCACAGATACGGACCTACAGTAAACATATATCACGTGATCGCTATCCAACCAGTCTATTGGCGCGTCAACCGAATCTACAGAAAACACGGCCTCCTCTGTTGTTGCGTAACATTGCAGTGAACTGCTTACCAAGAATCTTGCCTTCGCTGTAACTAGTTTAGCAATTCGTTGCTAGCAATTGGTGTACACGTAACATTGCTCCCAACTCAAAGTTATTCGTCCCAAATAGCCTACAGGCCTGCTACCTGTTCTTTTCCAAGTATTACTTCTGGCTTTCCCACCAATATCCTATAAGCATTCCTCTTCTCTCCCATTCGTGCTACATGCCCTTCACATCTCATGGTCCTTGATTTGATCGTTCTAATTATTCTTGAAGAAGAGGACAAATTATGAAGCTCCCTATTATACAGTTCTCTCCAAACTCCTGTCACTTCATCTCTCTTCGGTCCAGATATTATCCTCAACACCCTCAGTCTCTCTTCCTCCCTTATGACAGAGCCCAAGTGTCACACAGACAGAACCACAGGCAAAATTATATTTGTGTATATCCTAAATTTATGCTTTTAGACAGCAGACGGGAAGACAAAATGTTCTGAACTGAATGGTAGCAAGCATTACCCGAGTTCAGTCTCCTCTTAACTTGCTCTTGAATCAGGTTTTGGTTTGTTACAGTTCTTCCCAAATATGTGAACTGTGCCACATTTTCAAAACATCTGTTACCTAATTTTATGTCATGATTTATCCCTGCATTCTGGTGACAAGACAGCAACATATACTTAGTTTTCTCTACCTTTACTTCTAGAGCAATCTTGTTAGTAACATCAGTTAATGCTTCTTCGTTTCTCTGTGATGTATCTATGATATCACCCAGCAGAATCACATAATCAGAGTAGGCTAGCAGGTGATGTCCTGCCTGGTTTTCGTGGACTTTCCCNTCCAGTGATGATTCAAGGATTAAAACAGGGGGATAGTTTGGCACCATCACTATTTAACTTGCTATTGGAATATATAGTGAGGAAATGTAATGTGGACACAAGGAACACAACAGCGTATAAACAAAAGCAAGTGATGGCGTATGCTGGTGATATTATTATAGTATCGAGATCCCTAAGAGCAATGAAGGAGACGTATAAAGAAATAAAAACAATAGCAAAAGCAACTGGCTTAGAGGTGAATGTAAATAAAACTAAAATGCTGATACACTCCAGAAGGAATCTAAGGCAAACTGGAGAAATTAACATGGAAAGGGACTCGATAGAAATAGTTGAAGACTTCATATATTTAGGATCGAAACTCCACAAAAATGGAGAGGAAAATCATGAAATAACAAGAAGACTAAGACTAGCAATTAATGCATATTTCTCGTTAATATCAGTTTTTAGATCACAGGATACACCGAGCGATTAAAACAAAAATATATAAAACAATGATA